GGACTAGGGGAGAAGGGCCAAGGCTGATGTACACCACTGTGAGGACCTGGCTGTGATGACTCGAGCACTGCTTCCAGTCCTGTGCTCCTGCACAGCAGTTTCTTCCTAGCACACACCAACAGCTCCCTCTGAGCAACACATTATGGACACATTATGGAAGATGTGTCCAGACCATCATGGGTAACGTGCAGCTAAAGGACTGTATGTTAATTGACCTTTTCCCTCTCTGAGTCCACATATAACCATTGGTTTTCCAGTATGTGTGGCAATGAGGTTGATGTTCAGAATAATCCAGGGCTTCACACTTGCGTTTTCCTTGGAGCAAAGACATGTGAAGGTGGTCATAACTCAGGATGTGGATTTTTCTGGAGTACTCTTCCCCAGGGCCTGACTTGCTGTCCTGGGTTCAGCAGTAGCAGTCATTTTTCATCTCCTTAGTACCTGGTGCAGTGCTGTGTTTTGACTTTTGGCCTGGGAACAGAGCTGATAACACCAATGTTTTAGTCTGCCCAAGGACTTTGTGAGCCTCATGCTCTGCCAGGGAGGAGGGGAAGCCAGGAGGAAGCAGAGACAGGACACCTGACCCAAACTGACCAAAGAGGTATTCCATACCACAGCATGTCATGCCCAGGATGTAACTGATGGTTACCCGGAAGGGCTAGGGGACTGCGGGGTTGGACGAGGTGTCAGTTGGTGCTCAGTTGGGTGGGGTGGGGTGAGTTATGGGTCGGCTGGTGGTGAGGTGTTGTATTCTCTTCCCTTGTTATTTCCCTTATCATTATTATTACTGGTGTAGCAGTAGTGATTTGTGTTATACCTTAGTTACTAAACTGTTCTTATCTCAACCTGGGGAAGTTGCATTCTTTTGATTCTCCTCTCCGTCCCTCTGGGAGTAGGGGGAGGGCAAGAAGAGGGGGAGTGAGTGAACGAGTTGTGTGGCTGGGTTTAAACCACGACACTTGCGAAGTCAGACATCCTCATCTGCTACTGTAAATTGGGGCTGTTGACCCTCAAGAAACAGAGCACAAAGAGGGTGTCATGATGAAAGGAACAATGAAAGTACCTAACTAAGGCAGTAGCATATCTTGAAATCTGACTTAAGACTCTAACTTAAGAAACTAACTTAAGAAGCATGGTACTGTTCCAGAAATGAATGGTACCGTGCTTCGCTGCAGTAAAGTTACTTATACTGCAAGTCATGATTTCTTATAACTAACTATTCTACAAAGCTTACCAATGAAATCACGCCAGTATTTCTTGAAGCAGGTGATAATGCTGAACCAAAGATGACACGAAAAGAGTTGTGATCCTCTACTAATAGTGCAGCAGTCCTATTTTGAAAAGATCCCCAAATTCGTGTGTGGTGGCATTAAACGCTAACGTCCTTAAAGAACACGTAGTGCACCTTAGTAATATCTATTATAGTATATGGGATTTTAATTGCTTTATTATAAAAGAAAGCAATATTCACCCTTTTATGAATTTTGATTTAATGACTTTAGCACATTCATTATTAGTTCATTATGGTTCTGTGGAATTGAGGCCTCCTGAGTTAAAAGGATGTCCCCACACTAAGCTGGCCTCAATTAAAATGTAATCATATTGTGGTTAATCTCAAGGACTTGCTCTGTGAGTGCAGGGGTATAAGAGGGAGGGAGGCAGTGGGGGGCACGAGGAGGAAACATGACTGCAGAGCGGCAGGATTTGCAGTGGTGAAAAGCTGGAACTGTCCTGGGCTATAATATGAAATTGCTTCCTTAGCCTGACCCATAATCCTGCGTGCTTAAAGCCACAGCGAGAGCTTCTTGAAATAAATTAAACACCACTCATTTTAGCAATAGAGGAAAGTTCTGTTTATGACACTTTGACCAGTTCCTCATCAAGGCCTTGGGCCAGCAAAGGTCCTTGACAAAAGATCCACTGACAGTCCCACAGATATCGGTGACACTTGGAGGGGACTGGAGGTAGGTTCTTGCACAACCTCACTACTGGTCTGGAGCCCATATGTGTGTGCAGATGGGAAGAAGAGGGCAGCCCCTTGCAGAGGAAAATGCCAGGGTTCAAAATGCTACAGGAAATAGTAAAATGAATGGAATAGCAGTAATTCGGAGGAAGGATACCTGCATAATGACCAGTTCTGCTTCTGTCCCTATGTTGCTTAGGTTGGACATACAAGCAAGCCCTCTCCTATTGAGCCTTACACTTCCATGTCTGACCACAGGGCCATGTTAAGAGAACCATCAAGTTGTGATGATCTGGAAGAAGATGAGAAACTCAGCTCACAAGTAATTTGGTTGAAATATTACCTCTTTGATGTTTTGCCATACTGAACAGTAAAATAACACTCCAAACAGAGCTATTTTGGGATTACTTTTCTCCTTTAGCTTTTATCCTGTGGTTTTCCTGTATCTTCTTTTTATCTCCCAAATCTCATTGAAAATGTCTCAAGCTCTCATCCACTACTTGTGAAGTTTCAAGATCCCTTCAAGCTTAGATCCTGAGTATAAATAAGAGTTCTTGTTAGTAAAGCTGGAGTGCTTTGCAACAACTGTTTGGAAGGCTTTATGTTTTGGAGTTTGGGTTTTTTTGACTCTACAGTGATGCCAAACCTGGAATCCATGAGACCCAAAACCGAAGAGAATGGGGAGAGGCCAGATTCCCATGTGCTGCAAAGCAAGTGTTTGTAATGGAAGAGTCAGGGAGGATTTCCACAATAGCTCCCTATTTAGAAAAACAGCTCCTCAGTGAGTAGAGAATTGAGCAGAGTCTTCAATTTCAGCTCCTGATTTGATGTAATTTGAGCTAAATAAATAGGTAAAAGGAGAAAAAACCTAATCCCCAAAGAAACGAATCCTGCTCTCATGTAGTGTCCTTGTTAATGTTCATTGAACATTTTGAAGAAAGCAAATTTCAGACTCTAAAGATGTTTGCTTTTGAAAGAGTAGAAAATCATTCAAGTCTAAAAGGTTAGCTCTCAGAAACAGCCCTCACCAGATTTTGTGCCATATTGTTTAATTATTATGATAGATAATTACTATGGGAATATCAGTAATGCCAGGAATGTCAATATTTCATAAAGCTTTTCTAGATTACAGGAATACATTGGAAAGTGTTGTATTTCATGAGGTAACAAAAGCTGTTTGGGGAAAATGATGGCTTTTACGGCAGTGATTTATGTGTAGAGTTTTATACCCATCTTTTCAGGCTATACTGGTCTCTTCATCAGTTTACAGCTGCAATGAGTCTTTCATTTCCCAAATTTCACAAGTCCCTTTAAATCACTATTACATGTTACTGATGATCAAAGGCCAGGCCTGACCCATTAGCTTTGCCAAAGGAAACTCCATGCTCAGCAGCATTGACTCTGTACTCTGGGAGCTGTAGAGTTCACTAAATTGAGGCACATCTGTTTGCCTTGAGAAGTTCTCTGTTCTTTTTCTTCTGCCATTTAGGGCATTATCTTGCAAATGATTAATCACAAAAGACCCAGTCACTGAGTTCTTGCACAGAAAATACTCAGCACTGGTGAGAGGAGGGCCAGGGAGAAAACAGCTTAAGAAATTTCTTCATTACTGGGAAAATACGTACATATTTATGAGAGGAGCTAGCTGTGGCACTCTTTCAGGGCTCCTAACTGTGAAAGCTGTAACCTTTGGAGCACTGCAGCATCCAATCATGTTCAGCACAGGTACAATAATGTTGCTACTGACAGAAAATAAGAACCCCAAGGAATGAAGGGGAAGTGCAGTGTGATGTAAAACACACCTCAAAGAGCAGAAACACATCAGTTCCTTGTCCACATGCCCCACAACAGGGGTCTTCTGGGTAAATTCAATCTGTGACTTGTGAGAGCAATCCAAAAGCAAACCTGTAGATGTAGCACACTGCTGCTTGCATGTCAATGCAATGATTCATCATTCACATCAACACAACCTTATCATTAATATGTTTGGTTTCTGAACTGATTTAGGGAAAGAGACATACTTCAGGTGCAGGTCTGTTGGAAGTGGCTTGAATACTTCTTTCACTTGCCCACGATGCTGTTTCTACGTCTGATCCTGGTGGTTTCCAGTCTATAGGTTCTGATACATCTGTTCAAGACCCTCATGGTGTGGGTGTTAAGGTGAATACTTCTTCCTACTGAGATATATATACGCAAGTAAGTGCACGACTCTTCCTTTTCTTTTCCCTGAAAATACTCTTGCTGTGCAAATTTGGATTACATATATTTTGATGAAAAAGCACTAAGTTTAACAAAATCAGTTAATGAAGTTTTATGAAACTTGGGGGTAAGGTACATTTGCCATGTACTGTGTGCTTTTTGATGCAGATGGATGTAGCTACTTCTAAGAATTCCCCCAGTGAAGCAGAAGGCAGCAAAGCTGACTGTGTATCAGTCTTCTGCTGGCTGCTGCCTGGCACCTGGGAGTGAGAATGGCGATGTGTGTGCAGGCAACAGTTGCTGCTGTGTCAGAGAACAGCCAGACCAACATCCATCCTTCCTGCCATACCCTCAGGCAGGGGACTGCAGTGGGGGCACAGTGAGCTCTGTGAGCCTTGACACTGAAGCAGCTGTGCTTATACAAGGGCTTTGAGGCAGAGCTGCACCTTGCTTTCCATCTATGCCTGCAAATACAGCATGTGGTTGAGGCCAACACCTTCCATGTGCAATTCAGTGACTGCTAAAGTCCTCCAAAGAGAAATCAGAATGTCACACTGTGCATGTCTGTATGTTAACAGATACAGAGTGAGCCCCCTGTGTTTGATGGACTTCAAGCAGCAGGTAGAGAAGATGATGCTGGTGAGAAATTAACAATGTCAAGCATTATCCCTCCTTTTGATTAATTTGCGAAGACAAGTAATTGAATCCCCACACCCTTTCTGCACTGTAGTCATCTTCGTCTCTTGTCTTTCCCTGGGCATCTCTGAATGCATATACCCATACCTGCACTTTGGTCAATAGAGTACAGCCTGTAAGTAATTTCTAGAGAGAGATTTTACTGCGTTTTCCCTCAGTAAGCTTGAGAAAGGTAAAAATTATCTTATTATGGGTGCTTTGGTCATGAAGAGAAAATGATGCTAGATATGAATAGAAGAAATTCCTCTTATCCCTGGGAATTTTTAAGCATTAAATTAATTCCCCTATCTCTTGGAGTGTTAATGGGAAGGCTTTCAGCTCTGTGTAAGGCAGAAGTCCACATTTGCATTTAGATGGAGCTATTTTAAGGATTGTAGTATATACATAGGGGCCTGTATCCCATTTACAATAGGATCTGTAAGATAAAATTAATATCTAGTAAGTGGTTGTTTGTCCCATTTTGCTGTAATCTGAACCAGTAACTGAAGTGGTATAATCTGACATAATAAATACCAGAGTCATTCAGTGGAGAGATATCCACACACAAGGAGGAATGCACTCTTTAAGCAGTGAAGTGGGTTATGTTTTTTTCCCTTTCACGAGGCTGCCATGAAGCACTGCGTCCTGCCAGTGATACCCAGAAGACTTTTCTTGTGTCGAGCAACCTGCTGCCTCTGGGGAGAAATGGGAAACCACAGCAGGGTGGTGGTGGCTCTCAGGTGCGTACCTCAGATCCTTCCATTTACCTCTGTCCTGCAGGCAGGCATTTCTCATACACGCAGGAATTTGTGCTAAGTCATTGCTCCTGGTTTTTCATGCTGCTAATTTCCAGAAGCACCCTGAAACACTAGCTTTGGTAGGACTTAGGCAGATTGATGGGCTGAGAAAGTTGGGGCTGTTCAGTCTGGAGAAGGGAAGCTGCATGGAGACCTCAGAGCAGTCTCCCAGTATCTGAAGGGGGCCTACAAGGATGCTGGAGAAGGATTCTTCATCAGGGACTGTAGCGATAGGACCAGGGGTAATGAGTTCAAACTGAAACAGGGAAGATTTAGGTTGGATCTAAGGCAGAAGCTCTTCCCTGTGAGGGTGCTGAGGCCCTGGCACAGGGTGCTCAGAGAAGTTGTGGCTGCCCCTGCCCCATCCCTGGCAGTGTTCAGGGCCAGGTTGGACACAGGGGCTTGGAGCAACCTGCTCTAGTGGAAGATGTCCCTGCCACTAGAAGGAGGTTGGAACTGGATGAGCTTTAAAGTCCCTTCCAACCCAAACCATTCCATGATTCCATAAAATGCTGGGTGCTTCTCTGAACTGCTGCCAAAGTGAGTTGCTGTCTGCAGCAGGATGATGTATGAAGCACCAAGTTTGGGGTTTCAGCCTGCTACCACTCTAAAACTGTTATTTCTCTGGCAGCTGCCAGCCAGGATGAAGGAGATTCCCGACATACAGGGAGTGACGGCTCTGCCTCGTCCCCCTGCCAAGAGAGGACCGAGGAGCCACTGTTGCATTTGCTGTGCATTAATTCTGGTGGCAGGGCTTGTGTGAAGTGGTGATGTAAAATCAATGGGTTTTGTTTCAAATCCAATCCACTTTCACTGACAGAAATTAGTCATCAGTGTAAAGCCTCTGCGTCCAGTGACACAGGGTAGCTCTGGAATAATTCACTCCTGCAGCTGAAACAATACAAAACCACCAGTCAGTTGATGGAGCAAGTGCGCCCTGATGAGAAGAGCTGCTCAGGTGCTGCTGAAGGGGCTTTTCAGGGGAGCTTTTAAGTGGCATTTCCTAAAATTGTCCTGTTCAGCCAAAAGTAAACTTTTGCTGGCTATACTGTCTCTGGTTTTAGGCAACACTCGGCTAGGATTTCACACTGACTGTGCTGTATCTCCTTGTGCCGCTCATTGGCAAAGGTATTAATTCCTAAAGGTACTTCTAAGTCTTTTAGTAAATAGATTTTTTCACTTTATAGGGAATTCTCAAAAGCCCTTTTTATCCTCATGCCAAAAAAAGAAATGAACATATGAGCAAAAATTGATAGTCCCAAACCCTCTAAACTGAAACCACATTTCAGGTGGATTGAAACTCTTTTCTTTGCTAAGTTGAAAGGTTTCATATTGGTGTGACTCTGTGTTTCTTATGCTAAGTTCTATCATATTATGGCTATTCTATGAGAATATTCTTAAGGAACTTACTATGATTATCAGAAATCAGCGTGTTTCTGTAACGGCAAAAGCTTCTTTGACTTTTCTCTAAGAATGCACCTCAGTTCATACTGTGAAGTTGGTTCAAGAAGTTCCCCATATTCAAGCACTGCCTCATGGAAAGTCCTTGTGGGAAATATTCAGAGTGCTGTGGGGCTCTGTGCTCTGTTTCATCAGGAATTGCTCAGATGATGGGGAGAATTAAAAACTTATCTCCCAAGAACACATTATCAGCGTTCCCAGGAGCTGCACCTAGCAGAGGCCTCTTTACCAGCTCCTTTTGTTACTTCTCACACTGACAGCTATGAGAGAGCTTCTATTTTAGGGAGAGAGCGAACTCTCCCATTTCCCTGTCCTTCCAGCTGTCCTGTGTTTGCCTCCTGCCTGCTAAGACCCAGCTGAAGCAGCAGTGGTGCCAGATTGAGTGTCTGCAACCCCAGAGACGAGCCCTGAGATTGAAGCCTAGATCAAAAGCCTGTATTTTTTCCAAGTGAACCCCTATCTGTTAAGAATTGGACTAGTGAGCAGTAATCCTCTAGCCTGACATAAAAGATCAAATGAATGGATGGGAAAAGGTAGATAACAGGGAAAAAGCTTGTTTTGGACTAGTTTCCCTAACAAGAGTGGAAGAACAGTGGGACGTGTCAAATTGACTTTTGCAGAGCAGGTTAATGCCAGCTACTTGTTTATCCTTGGAGATTCCTCAAATCCAGCAGATTTCAGCATTGCTTAATGAAAGCTTAGGGAAGGGTGGGAAATGGAGCATGTACACTTCAGAGAAGGGGAAGATGCAGATGAAAACAAATGAAAAGCCTCTCTCCTTCATGTTTCAAGTGCCAAATTATGCTTGACATTTCAATTTCCCCAAGGCGTGCTTCTGTAAAATCGTCTTGAACTCTCTCCTCAAAGTGTTAAAGCTTCCATCAGCTCCTCCAGTGGCATCAGACAGGTCTGATTCAGTTGTGTCTCGGGTGTGAAATGTAATCATTGTTACAGCACTGCACAACTGGCATTCAGAAGCAGCACCCAACGTCTCCAGTGTTTTCATGGATGGGCTCCACAATCTGCTTTACAACAGGGCACGATGCAGATGCCATTCGCAGCTGCTCAGGTGGGAGATGATTGGGTCTGGCGACGTGCGTGTGGCTCATTTTGTACCGTTTCTGGGAATTCGGGATGTTTACCACTTGTGTGTGGCTTGTTTCACATGAGGAACTCCATGTTATGTCTCTATAGCCAGGAGGTCTCAAGTACTTTGGAGATCTGTAGGAGAAATTTGTAACCACTAAAATTCTCATTAGTTCTCAGTGTTCCAGCATTTTTAGGAAGTTTGAAAGCCTGAATGTTTGAAGTGTTTTGACCATGTCCCCAGTGAAAAAGAACAAGAGTAGAGAAATGGCAGAAACGCTGTGGTTTTCCCAGTCTGTTCTATTGATGTGTTTTGTTTTTCTTTAGCTTGTTTTCTTCTAAAGGTCAGTGAAATTTTCAGTTGCATAAATTTCATTGACTTTCCTCATTGCAGACAGGCTTTTGAGGGAGATGCTGAGCTTACGTGCGCTGCCTGTGCCAAACAGAAGAAAGCCTCCTCCCGTGTGAGTGGGAAGAATGGTGACCCAGCTTTTGAGAGACCTCGCTTGAATTGAATTCTTTGAGAAATATACCCTTGGGCTGTGGTTGCTGAGCACTTGAGAAGGCCTGTGATTGATGACATGGTCATTACGAACATGATTAAGAGCAGCCAGGATTTGCATTTACCACCTTGGCCTTTTCCAGTGTCTGCTAAACTGTGGTCTCGAGACCACCACTGATGCACACAACGTGACTGTGTGTGTGTGGAGGGGGGAATGGGGGAGCTGTGATTAATTTGGCTGGCAACATGATGCTGGCTCTCTTCTTTGATTGCAGCTGATGAATAGTATTTTAAAAGCTAAGAATACATTAAACACTTTGCTGTAGCTCCTATACAGTCTGAGGGCCAGAACCGCAGCTGTGCTCGGTTTACAATGGGTGCAGCTGAAGAAAGAAGAGGAAGGAAGAGACTGCTTTTAGCTTAACTTGAGCTATAGATTCTGCTTATCTTGAGAAGTGACTGGGGGCACAGGCTCTGATGGTGGGAGTAGGGTTAGGGGTTGCTGTGGGGGTTTGGGCAGGAACAGGACTAGCATCCACCAGTTTTGGCTGCTCCATAGAGTTAAAATATCAAGTTGTTGCATGAGCGAGGGATTTATGTTCCCTGCCTTCCCTCCATTGCTATTGCCCCTGTGCCTAGGTCTTTTCTGTCCTTGCAGAGTGGACGCTCCTGCCATGCCTGTGAACATTCACTCCCCATGTCATGGCAGGATGTCACTGTGGTCCTCAGGAGGTGCCAGCCCCCCACATTTGTTTGTGTGCTCCCTGCTCGTGACATAGCAGGCACCCCTCTGAGTTGATCACCGTGCTGATTTCCCTCTTCAGGGATCCTCTGGGATCTCATCATTACCCTGATCTCTCTTTGTATAACACAGCAGCTCTTATCTAACACCTGTTTTTCAGTTCTTCATTTTGCTGGTTGTTAATAACAATTAAAACTTTCATTGCAGAATCCCTCACCCAGTGTTTGTGCCAGGACTTCCACTGCAATAGCCCTGCTTTGATGGCAGCCATTGAAGGAGATAAAAATGAGAGCTTTGGAGCAGTATCTTCATGGAGCATGATGACTCTTGACAGCAGGAGACACATTCACCACCTGAAGGCTACGGAGCGCCTGTGCCTGAACAGCAGACAAGGTACCAAATAACCCTGTTTTCCCTCCTAATCAGGGTAAGCAGAACTGCCAGGGCCTCACAGGAAGGGTGAGCAAGGATGAGAAGGGATCATAGGCAAGAGAGACTCCACCATCATGGCAGTTCTTCACTGATGCCAGTGTCCCCTGGTTGCCAGCCAAGTCCCAGACTGTGCCCTGTGCTTTTATTATGTGCCTCCATAATAAAATTATTCTATTATATGCTTCCATAATAAAATCAGAGGAAGATTTGGGTGTGTTTCCCACAATGCGGGAGGTGGGGAATTCGCCTCTTGCAGGAAACCATGGGATATTGCTTCTACAGCTTCCCACCTATCTGCTCTCCATTACTTGTTAGCTTCCATACCCTTTGCTCTCTCCAGCCATCCCTCCTGCCCCCCAAAGGTTACTCTCGACAGGTTGGCTTGGCACAGGGCAGCCATGACAAATCTTTAAACTCTAATGATGAATGAGACTCCATTGCCCAGTCCTTCTGGAAAGAGATTTTAATGTGGATTAAAATAAAAGAGGTTTGATAGATGCTGGAAATGTCTCCCTTTGGCTGTTAAGAAAAAAAATCTGAATGCCTGTAATATTTCTGCTGAGAATTACAATAATTGGTATTTAAATAGTATTCTGAGCAGAGCTGCAATTGCCTCAGAAAGCCAACCCCAAGAGCAAGATCTCTTGTCTTTAAGAGCTCAGCCAGGCTTGGGAACTTAAAAAGAAACTCGAATTATTGGGAATTTAAAACATGCCCTTGCTTTGGCTTGAATGCAACATCAAAGCAGGAGCCTGTGTGTTCCTGAAAAAATGCTTCTTTCCCTCCCAGCTGCTAAATGCTGTTTCTCTGCTGATTGTATTAGCACCACTATCCCCGCATCATCTCCATCCACAAACACCTTTTCAGTGTGCTCACAGGAAGGAGTCAATTTTGCCCTCTCAGAGGGAGAATTACCTACAACCCAAATAACTAGTGCCGGGAGCTAGAGAAAGCTGGTGGTGTGATAGTCAGCACTGCTTCCCTTTGGAAACACTAGGCGCATCGATGCTCTGTATTGAGAGGGCTTCTTGAATCAAAGGATATGTTAAATCCATCACCTAACTTGTGATCACACTGGATTCCATTGCTATGGTGCTCTTGTGTTCAAGAGCCAATGGCCAGATTCTGTCTCACTTCCCCAGGACCCAGTGGTTTCAGATGGACGCTTCTCCACTACCTCCTGCTCTCCTCTGGACTTCAGTGCTCAGGAAAGCCACTGCACTCCTGTGATCTCTACCCAAGAGAGGCTGAATCACTGGTAAGTTGCATAAAACTCATTTTATAATGGCAGGGTTTCTCTGAGGCAAGCTCTGCTACCTTTGTATGTGTAAGATACTGCTGCTCTTTCCTGCTCCTTGCCAAATCCAACATCTTTTATTTGCTTGCCATCCCACATAGTACCTGAGTCTTTGCAAATCAGACCTCTTAGAGTACTGCTATTTCCACAGTTGGCCTTTTGTCTATAATCATTCAGCTTTCCTAGCATGCATTTGTGACCCCAACAGATGGCTCCACTAATGGACACGCACTGGTGCCAAATGCTATCAAAAAGCTCTGTTTCAGGTAAGCTGGGAGCTCTAATGGTGTTATTTTTAAGTTTCAGACAAGCCCAGTTCACTGGCCTCACACAAAATGTTTTTAATTTCTTTCACTTTCTACCAAAGCCTACGTTACTTGTACAGCATTTGAGAATTAACAGGTCTAGGTAGGTCTGTGAGTGTCACACAACACGTGACAGCGTGACATAGCCAAACTAGTGAGGATGAACCAGTACCGCACAGCTGAGAGCTTTCACACTCTGCCCAAATGCTGGACCAGCACTGCTGTATGACTTCTGGTAGCAGAGCTAAACCGTGTGTGTGTGCAGCACTGGATGTGGTATATAGACATAGCTGACATTTCTAATGTCAGCAATAACTACTGTGAAATGTCTCCTTTTACTCTGAAATTGTTAGTTTCATGTGCCAGCAGCAGCTCTAGTCCCCAGCTGAGATCAGAAGTCCATTAAGTGCTTGAAATTGTGGGGAATGCATAGTATGAGGATGTGCACTCCTGACCAGCTCTTTATTGCTGATTGCCTGGCTAATCCAGTCAACCTTGTCCCACTCAGGTATCCATCCACCCATAGGTACCCACCTATACAGACAGACATCTCTCCAGCAAGGTGCTGCTCAGGGTGGTAGATGCTCGGGCTACTCCAATCTTCGGATTGTATTTGCATCCTCTTATTTTCAAGAGCTTTTTAAAGTGAGAGGCAAAGTGCTTAACCTCATAGAGCTGCTACTAGCTGAATTTATAGATTAAACCTAGGCACTGCAAGTTAAAATCATTACTAGTACAAATGGGAAATAATTCTACTAAAGGCAGTGAAAATTACCAAGTCAGGGAAGCAGTTAGTTGTCTAACATTTCCTCTCTAAGGAAATAAAGAAATAAACCATTGTTCTCCTGTGGCATCTGTTGCTTTTTTCCCCCAGTGTAATTCTAGTGATTCCTGCAGCATTATTTCTGGGAGTGAAAAAGTGGAAATGCTCTGTTCATCTTGAAGTGGCTTGTATAAACTCAGACTTGAGTCAAGTGAACACACACAGGGGAAAATGTGAATTGGGCCAGATAAATCCTCCTGAAGAGGAAATGTCAATGAAGAGGTTTGTGAAAGTAGGAGCACAAGGAGATACTGCAGTTTCTATCTGAGTAGTAAATCAACCGCAGCCAGTGATTGCCAGTGGCGAGATAAGTTAGTTACTGCTTATTGAAGGTTAAAGAGAAACCCTTCCTAGAAGTGTTCAGCATCTCAAGTGGAGGTGGGATTGTGATGAGAGAATGGCAACCAGTCTGTACTTAAAATTATGAATAGATCTCTCCTCTGATCTTAAAGAGTATTTCACTGTGCACAGTCAGGGGTTTGGTTGATCCACACCTGATTGAGATCCCTCATTCACACTTAGGGATAATGTATTTGCATGTTAATGAGATTCCCAGTTCTGGTTCTTAACAACTAAAAATACCATCTTTTTACATTTTTGGTAGTCCTCAGGGAGCTGAGTCTTTGAAGCTGCAGTAACATCCCATGCTCTGGTGGTTGTGGGCTTTTATTAACTCAGATGTCTCCCATCTTCTGTGTAGACTACCCTTGACACCAGGATATGAAGCAAACAAAGGCAGAAGCCCCACTGTCACCAGCCATGCTGGTTTTTCCTGAGTGCATTGCCCAGCCCCAGAGCCATAAGCCGTGACCATAAGAAGCTTCAGATGCTGGCAGAGCAGCAGGTATCATTACAACTGAATAGAGCCATATACAAAGGTGGAAAGATCCTCTTAGCACTCATTAATTGTAATTTTCAGGATTAATGCAAAAGATTTGGCAGCTTGACAGAAGAGAGTTTTACCACTGATAATTCACTGCGGCTGGCTGGAGCTGAGGGAAGGGTCAGTGCCTTCCCCCATCCCTCCAGCCACAGGTAAAGAGAAGGACAGAAGTAACTAGGCAGGGAACAGGGATGTAAAGCACCTGATAGGTCAGAAGATGTATTTTACGCAAGGTAGTGTAAATACTCATGTGATTTATTACAGTAGCAGACTTCCATTGATGACCATATTGAATTGAGGATTATTTAGAAGCTGAGGGGATCAATACATCAGGTGGGAGCCAAAGCTTCTGAAAGCAACTGCAGTAGAAGTGTATTTTGCAGTGCCTCACTTCTTTGTGAAGTCCTTTAGCTGCCCCTTAAGCCTCAGAGTGAACTTCACCATATAAATATATACGTATGTAGAGTTTAGTGATGTAGCAGTGGACATCCTTCCAAAGGCCTGGGCCAAGGCTGTGCAGTGAGCTTGACTTCAGACAGGCTGTTGGGCAGTTTAATTTCTGTTAGGGAATCCTTCACTTCCCTGGGCAGATTATTCCCATGGCTGATTGTTCACAGTGTGAAATATTTTCCTCTTGAGTCCAGCGAGAATCTCCCCAGGGATAATGTGCCCAGCATTGCTCGTCTTTTCCATGGGACTCCTTGCAAAAAGGGAGTCTCCATCTTCTTTGCAGCCACCCTTAAAATACCAGAACATGGTGACAAGGTCTCCCCCAAGCCTTCTTTTCCCAAGGGTGAACAGACACAGCTCTCTCAGCCTTTCCTCATGTGGCTTCTCAGTCCTTGGATCATCTTTGTGGCCCTTCTCTGGACCCTCTCCAGCCTGTCCACATATTTTTTGCATGGCAGGGACCAAACCTGGACACAATTCCAGGGGTGGATAAACCAGGTTGTTCTGCAGTACATCAAGAACTTCTCACCACTGTCTAACCACTGTTGATCTTGTGTGTTTCTAAGTATTGGTTTTTACTCCCTATCACTTTCTATTACATTTCTTCCTTCAGAATAAATATAACTCAAATATCCCTAATCTTTTTAGCATGGAATTTTAAGATTTTAATGGGCTTGTTTTAATTTGCACATTTTCTTGTTAATAATGAAATCAGTTTAACGAGAGTTAAACCAAAAAGCCTGTAATGGTAATTCAAAACATAAAACTCTAGTGCCTTTCTGTAAGAATTCCCTGTTAATATTCTTAAGGCTTTTTAATGGACACTTTAAGTAGGCATTGGTATTAGCAGAAACATCACACAAATTAAAATTAGGCTCTTGGTGACTATTTTAAAATGAATATTCACAGACTTTTCGGCATGAAATTAAATCTAGTTACATTTGATGATGCTGCTGTGTTTTAAGGAAGTATACTGAAGAAAAGATAGTGTTGCCTGTGAACTTATTGCTGATAGTTAATTTAATTTATTGCAACCCATTGAATGTAACAATCAGATTTTATATAGCATAGCCCAGGAGCCTGTGTCAGGCTTTAAATCTATGGAGATGGAGCCTGAGCCAGTAGTTAAATGATGGAATTAGGAATGAGGACTTCCAGCTCTGGCTGGGATTCTTGTTTCACTTGGATAGATTATAAACCTGCCATGCTTGCTCTGCTTGTTGCAATGCTCAGAAATGGGAAGTCTGCCTTTCAGGGTGAGTGGGAAATTGTGTTCTTCCTTCACAAATCCTTGCTAGTCTTTGCTGAATTCTTTCCCTGTTCTCCTTTTCTTCTTCTGAATACACAGAGCTAAACTCAGCATTATAAAATCCAGATTACCGTCCCCAAGTAGCATGGCAACAAAGCATGCACTTACATACAAATCCACTGAAGGTCCACAGGATTGAAGCATATGGTATAAATTAAGCAAAAGGTAAATCCTGAAGCGATAGCTTTAGGAACACACTTTTGGGCTGAGCTGATGAAGTGATAAGGAAACATCCCTACCTACCCTAAAATGCGTCTGACCCGCTTTGTGTTGCTATCATTGTGGGACAGTCAGATTCAAAATCTGCCCTAGTTTTTCTGGTTTATTCTAACAATAACACCTTGTGCGTGCCTCCAGGTTCCTGGAATCAGATGGCGCTTTCCATGATGTATCTTGGAGCTCTTAAAACAAAAAGCAGAGTGTCATCTTCCTGCTGATGAACACCACAAGGACCTGTCATTCCCCTGATGTAGTACAGCGTGAGAATGGTCTCCCTTCAAAATCCATCACTGGGGCAATGGCATTTTGAGTTATATGGTGCCAGGATGGCAAGTATTCGAGCCGTTCACAAATGGAGACAAGACAGGGTCAAAGCACACACTTAGTTTTCACGTGGGCAGCTGGACTGTCTGAAGTGATAAAAATTGGGTTAAAGTCATTGTCATTTAGAGGGCGGTGATGAAGTGATGCTGGATTCAAGCACTTCAGTGGTCTGGGTTCCTAATTCCCATTCACGGAAGTCACCATCAGATGCTGGTGGTTGAGGACAGCACAGGATGTGTGTGCAGCCCCACGGTGCTGTAACACAAGTCTGCTGGAGGATCAAACCCAAGATGAAGGCAGTTGAGTCCCTGTGCAGATCCCATTGTCTGTTTTACCTACTGTTACACTTAGGAGCCTGCTGCTTGCACCTCTCCCTTGCCTGTGCATGAGGAATGTGCTGCCTGTGCTGCGCATTCCCAATATTATTCAAAAACAAATGGTGAATACACTTGCTCTGTAAGGCCTTAGCTTCAGAAATGCTATATCCCCTGGCTCCCCCCCACTGCTGTGAGCAGGCTCACTGGTGCCAATAACACTGCCTGTAACAGCAGCAGTATTCAGTGCTTAAATATTTGCAGGCTCACTGTCTGAATTGGCATTCTTTGCCAAAACGATCTGGGCTCCATGAAAAACTCGTGGAATAAACATGCAAATGCAGGGCCAGCTTTTCAGCTAGGACGAGTTAGTGTGGTTCTGTGGCAGCTAAATTGAGGATCTGCTCCTCCTTGGTGTCTGCATTAGATATGCAAGGAAAAGGAACAATGCCAGCAACTGTGTACACAGTGCCATGATGAATTGGCGCGTCTTCTGATTTATTGTTTTGATTTTGCTGTTTGCTGCTGCTGGGAAATTATGCAAATTCTTCTTGTACAGGAAAAGAATACTGATAATTAAGAAATGTGCAGCTTGGATTTAAGATAATCTCATAAATCCACACTAGTGTCCTCACAGAGCAGCGCATTAATAGCTCTGATAACTGCTGTCTGACAACCAGGACTTCTCAGCCCTCCAAGAGGTCACTTGGCACATTTCTCACTGAACACTGTAGGTGGGAATGAGGTGCTTGCATGAGAACAAGCGAGCAGAAAGAGGGCAAGACTGCAAGGCAGAAGGACCTGGCCACCTTTGAGGCCAAGTTCTGCAGGTGTAGTTAAACAGCTTTGTCCGTTTAGGGGAAGAGAAAGAGAAGGTTAAGCACCTTTGGTAATGTGCCGGCTCAGAGCAGAGATGTCACTTTGTTGTCTTAGGGGGGAACAGGCACTGACTGGCAGGAATGGCAAACAAACCTTCTCTGCAGGTAACCTCCTTAAAGGTCAGAAAAGATCACAGCCTTTAGAGGTTAGGCCATTTCTAGCTATGGCTCAGGCCTACTGCGATCAATCACAATCATTTCTGGAAGGTTTTGGCTGTGCAGTGAAGGTGTCTGTGCCCTGGGGGTGCGAGACAGAGAACTTGTCAGTATTTTAGGCCATCTTCCACTCTTGTGCAAGTGATGCACAGATCTGCTTCAGAGGGGCAAGTGCTAGGAGAAAAACGCTTCCCTGTCCAGAGGGCTCCTTAGCTGGAGTTCTTGCTGCAGTATCCCATGTGTGTGCCAAGTTCCTCAGCCTTTCCCACACTGGGTGTTGAAATTGAGTTTGTGGTCCACAGGGAACCATGGGCAGTACGGACCCCAACTTTAAAACGAGTTGATTGAGTCTTGAAGCTGTTACTGTGATTTCCAGGTATTGCAATTTCTGTCCAAGGGATGGAAAAACATCATAAATCGTTTGTTATGTGGAGTAAAAGAAAGGAGTTTTACTGATCAGGCTTCAGGACCAGCGTTCTGTGGACTTATGATTGAGGTCAAATGGCCAGTGAAATTCCTCCTCCATGCACTGTGCTGCCAGAAGAGCCCAGCCGTGCTGGTCTGCAGGGCTTTTGAAAACCCAGCTCTTAATGCCAGTTGAAAATCTAGCCCTAGTTATGGAAATGGAGTAGGTCAAAGCTTAGGCCTAGATATAATGAGCACAAGGGTAAGAAGGTAGGTTATTTTCAACTACAGCAGACAGCCTTATCTGCATAGCCTCTGTACAATTGAAATCTGCAAAAATCTCAACCAGGAGTCACATTAGCAGAATGAATATTAACCTGGGAGCCTCCACAAAAAAAAACTTTACCTTGACTTTCTGCTATATATATATATATATAAATATATATATTTGCCTTGATACAGCACTGTCACTGAGCAATTTAATTCTCTTCTGGGCACAATTGTCAACCTGGTTTCCAGAAGGGACACAAGCCGCAGGATTTATTTTATTCCATTTAAGTAACTATGACCAGTTGTCATAAATTGAGGAGCTGAAATTGCCCGTTCCCTAAGGCTCTCTAACAAATGAGATCAGAAGTCCAATGAATACATGTCTTGCAAAGCTTTTCAGTTCAATTACGTATACCCATGTGCAACTGGTAACACCACACTCAGTTCAAATAGTATCTTTGCAGGTGTGAAAGACTGCAAATTGAAGTCTACTTCACATCAGTATCCAACATGTTACTGGAAAGATTAAAAGGAATATTTTCAAGGGACAAAGGATGAACAATTAATGAGCCCTGGAGTGACTCTGAAACAGGTAGCAAAGAAAAACAACTGTAAAAGGAGAAACCATCAGAAGTGAGCAGTTTGGTGCCAAGTTTCAGAGGAGATTAGTGGAGAGTTTCAGTAGATCCATTAGTGTTTGCAAAGTACTTGTGGAGTGGATCAATGAGCATCATAGAAACTCCCAGGAGGAAGTGAATTAAAAGCTTTTGCTTTTGCTTTTTTTACAGTGGGAAGCAAATAAAGCAGAGCTCACACACTGGCTGATGAGACTAAGGCAAGGCATTGTATGGACATCTGCTCAAGTGAGTGCTGTCAGTCCCTGCCAGAGGTAGGGCAAGGTCAGTTGGAAAAATACGTGGCCATGATAAAACATTGTGATGACAGCCAGCAGAGGACAAATCCGTGTTTTCTAAGTGACTTTAAGTCCGTCTAGTTTGAGCTTTGGGTTTTTGATTTTAGATTCTGAGCATTTGGTAGGGAGTGGCTATTTGTACATGGGCAATAAGCTCTGGAACTTGGTTTTAGTGGGAACAATAAGAAGGTACTAAAATCCTGAGAGCCACCTTAAAAAGGCAGCGCCAGATCTCCAAATGATTACGCCAGCACAGCACCACTGAAGCGTCCCAAGTGCTATTGATTTACACCAGTTGAACATCTGGCCCATATGCTTTGTATTATTAAATACTTCTGCGATTATTATGTGAACAATTAAGATTCATGGAAATGAAAAAGCAGGCTATGAATTGTGCCTTCACTGCAGTGCAGAAGGAGGAGTTGCTCAGGGAATGTGCTGCCTTTTACTGTAGCTCTGCAGTTCGTCTCTATTTTTCTAGAAGCCAGAAAGTGAATGGGACCTCAGGAGATTTTCCAGGCCATCTTTCTGCAGGGAAGGGTCAGCTTCAGCCCTGTCATATTTCATAGAATCCCGGCCTGGTTTCAGTTGGAAAGGACCTTAAAATTCATCCAGTTCCAAGCTCATGCCACAGGCAGGGACACCTTTCATTAGACCAGATTGCTCCAAGCCCCGTCCAACATGGCCTTGTACAGATATTTGCTCAATATATTCTTAAAACTCCAACACGTGGGAGCCCACAGCATATCCCAGCACTGAAGTACTGGTGCTGGGGTACTGCAAGAATCTCTTCCTCCATCCAATCTACCTCTCTCCCTGGCTGTTCCTGAGCTCTCCAACCTCTTGTCCTATCCACCACTGCCATAGAGAACAGCACAGTCCATTCCCTTGGCTAGCAGCCCTTCTTTGTATGCAAAGTTTGTTATTTTGTTTGTCTCTTCTGTGAGATGTTATGTTGTAATGTTCAGTCTGGTCAATCGTGTTGGAATTCAGTGCTGAGAAAGTCCAGACAAGCCCAAGTAAATGTTAACATTGCAAATTCTTTATTATTGTTTTTTCCTTAGGCCTGATTCCCTTTCATGGTTCCCTGCTGAAGTACAGAAGTACATCCAGCTATAAGAGAAGAAGATCCATCTTTCAGCATCAGGAGATTAAAGGACTAGAGTGAGATAACATTTTGCAAGCCTGAAACGATTTGAAAATCCCTTTCCTGCTATTTCTGGAAAAAAGTCAATGGCAGGGCAAGATTATCTTCATTAATAGTGTGAGAATGAGTGTTGGCTGCAAGTTTTGTTTAACCTGAAAAGCAGCATTCAGCAGCTGCGTTTCCACAGCTAAAATAATATCCAGAGAATCAAAAAATCTTTGCCACACAGAAAATCATCCTCTGGTTGTGTGTAATGGAGCTCAGCAGCGTAATGTGCAGGAGAGAAGGGTAACCTTTGAACATCTCCTCAATTCCCTGAGACTGGCGCGTTGCTGATTAACAGATGCTTGGTGACTTGAAGTTCCCAAAGTTAAAGCTTTGCCTGCATTGCACAAGTCACTGGTTTTATTGAGGGCTTGGGAGAGATATTTTTTGGCTTTTATCCCACTTTTCAGTCGTGGAATGATGTGACTGCTCTGAAGTGAATGTAACTGTTCGTCAGAGACAAAGTGGAAGCAGCGTTGTGGGAACTGCTCTGCAGGGCCTGACCCGCAGCATCCTGCCACTGATGGGGGCCATGGGCACCTTCTTCAGGAGGTGTTTTGGAGGCTCACCTCAGCAGCAGGGAGCATGAGCTGACATGCCCTTTGAAAACACCTCACTCCCTGTAGATATTCTGCATGTCTGGAGAGGAGGGCTGTTAGCTGGGGTTTTGCTTTTACTTTTTGCATCCAGGCTTCAGTTTCTGCACAGAGCTATGGAGGAGCTACTACAAACCCTGCCTCCTCTGCAGCCTCATGTCAAGTGAGGCAAGAAGGGCATTGCCTTTGAAATAAGAGATCTCTCTGTGTTTGAAAAGCAGCCTGGCCAAGCAGCTCCAGTGTAGCACCATGGTGCTAAGCTGACTGTAGCCTAAGCTGACTGCAGCCAAGTCTGCGTTGCCCACCCACCAGTTCCCTGACCAGTATAAACCCTTGTCAGGCCATGGACTCAGTGCAAACATCAGTTGCTTTGTCCTCATTAAAATTTCAAGTAGTATTGGCTCAAGTGGAAAACATACTTTTCTATGCTAAAGACAAGGCTACAGGTAGCTCAACCAAAGTAATGTGGTTCAGTGGTAACATTAGAAAAAGGACCCAGAAACTGCTGGGGTCACCCTTCCCAAAGATTGAGAGCTTCATGTGAGGCCATACAAGGTTTCTTTTTCCCATTGACTTTTGTGTTTTGGGATTAGGCAGGTCCTTCTGGAGGGCTGTCATTTATACATCTTGAAGTCAGGCAGCTGTTATCTGTTCTCCTCCTGAAGACATCCAACACTTGGTCAATCACTGCAGCTCTGCCACAGGAGCTGCACGGAGGGCCGGGGCTGTGTGCAGGAAGAAGGTCTAATTAACAAAATCCACACTCCAAGAGTTTGCTGTTTTCAGGGCACTGCTCCACCTGCCAAGCTGTGCTGGTGTTAGCAGTGCACAGCAAGAGGAGTTTTAGAACAAGCACTGGCAAAAACCCAGCCCCTGTCCCTGAACAAAACGCTGCCAGCTCCCGAAAGACTAGTGTGACAGGCAGAGCCCTGTAGCTGTCAGTTCTTCCCACCCTTTGAGGGTCTGCTTCTTACTTTTGAATACTTTAGCTCTTAGGTGGTTCTTCTAGCAAAGTGTTGCCTTTGTAAGGAAGAAATAAGGGTCTTACCACGGCTGCCTTTAATTCGTTATATAAATAGGATAACTTTGACTTCTGTTGCTGTTCTAATGATAATAATCTGCTTTTGATTTACATTTTGTAGAGTATAAGAGGTACATCTTCGAAGAGAGTTGTGTTGTCAGTCTACCCCAGCAAGGTGAACAGATGGAGGATGTTGCCTTTACAAAGCCCTGTGATGAGGCAACAGAGAGGTGAAAGTGTTCAAAAATAACCAGAAGCAGAGGTAGGGCAGACACACAGCCTTCCCTTTCCCTTTCCTTTTCTGTTACCTCTCTCCCTTTTCCCCTTTCCCTTCCCTTCCTTTTTTCATCACTCACACTCGAATCAGTGACATTTCATATACGAAGGGCAAATAAACACAGGAGAATTATTTGGAGATGGAAGTTCAGAGAGGTGTGGAGAAGGAAGGATTTGGTGAGTGAAGGTTTTGTGATGAGACTCACTGGCTGGGATTGCTCGGCAGAATTATACTTCATTACTGATGCTTCACAGCCTTGATTTCCATATTTATTTGTGACTCTTCTTTTTTAAACCATGGGCTTTTTGACAGAAGAGTCATGCTGTGTAAAGCGCTATTGATTAGAGTTTCTAATTTCATGCCAGTACAGCATGACCATTGGGGAATGAAATGTGTTTTACTTTCTCCACCACGGCTGTGCCAGCAGTGCCTGGGGCACAGCCATCGCGCAGCCTGTCAGCAGGAGGCATTTGCAGCTAAAGATCTTTGCTGTTGGAGCCAAAAGGCGAGTTTGCCCAAGGTCTAAACCTCAGCTCAGTCTGTTGGTCCTGGAATTAGAACAGATCAGTGGCAAAGTGTATTTTGAGGCCAGAGGTTTCCAGAAGGATGGCTGACTTGGGCACTTTCCATTTTTCACTTAGGCCTGCAAAAGGCTATTTGTTTCCCCTGCCTTCCAGAGGAATGGTTGCCATTTGCTGTTAATACCTGCTGTCTTTCCACTGTGTCTGTTTTGGTGCTCAAAAAAGTGAAGGAAGTCACTAAAGAGGTAGGAAAATCCCAGATGGCATCTTCTGTGACCATCTAATGTACACATAACCCCCGTTACGTACAAGCTGCAAGAATGAACTGATTGCAAACCTGAGGAAAACATGTCCTAGCCTTATTATAAATAGTTTTTTCCTCTCACATGCTGGATTTGGGCTCTTCTGGAGTTTCCCAAGGAGAGGGCTCATGGTGAGACAGGGTTTTTGGTGCATTAATAACACTTCACCCCATTGGGGCTGCCTGGGGGCACCTTCCCCTTCCCTTTTCCTTCAGGTATCTCCCAAACCCATCAGGTTCTTTGGTCTGTCCCAGAACAATCTCTAAGCAGATTTCTTTAAGCTCTTTCCAAAAAATCACCCCCTTTTTTCCCCCTGTGTAACAAAGGCTTGTGCTATCCTGAGGTAAAGACATCAGGAAGAGAAAGTCAGCCTAAGTCTGCAGCTGAGCTTGCCTCTAATGAGTTTTCCTCATGATATAACTAACGCGGCTTGTCTTACACTCAGGTTTTACCTCTTAACAGTAGATACACACTCACTGTCCTGAACTAATGAAGCTTTCCAGCAGTGAAGACAGGCTCTAGCAGAGCAGCTATAGACATGTGAACCCCTTACAAATAGCCAGATGAGAGACAAGTGAATGCTTGAAATCTGACAAAGGGGAACCAGCCGAGAAAGTTCTCTGACTTCTGCTTTATTCCAGGAGCTCCTGACACCCGCTGGCAGGTGATGAATTAGTGCTGCGCAGCTGGAGCTACTCAAGGGCTGCAGATGCAAATCCCAGAGCTGCTCCCACATGTACTTGAGCACTGGAGGTAGCATGGCCAGTCTGGGGCTTCCCCTGCAAAAAGACATTAATGAACTAGGGTGAAGCTGAGAAAAACTGGGCTTTTTTTGAGGAGGCAAAGGGTTAGGGTATCTTGTTGCTGTCTATGACGCTTCACAGGAGGGTGTGCAGAAGGCAGAGCTAGACTGTCTTTGGAGATGCACAATGACAGGACAAGAGGCAACAGGCACAAATTGCAGCATAGGAAATTCTGATTAGATATGATGTAAAAAGAGTCTACCCTGAGGATGGTCAGATGCCAGGTGAGGGGCCCAGAGAGGCTGTTGGATCTCCAGTCTTGGAGATGTTCAAAATTCAGCTGGGCAAGGCAGCCCAGTAAGTTGGCCCTGCTTAGTCTGGAGCTCATAGTTTAAGTGTGGTTGGTGTGAGCAGTGTGTGACACTGGGCTTCACACTGCTGATTTCAGTCTGTAGTGATGCATTAGGCTCAAGCTTTCCAAGCAGGAACCCAGTCCAGCCCTAGCTAAATCTGCCAGGTCAGTCCGCTTACTTCTCAGTAACATTGGTCTCCTTCAGCACTGCAGGATGCATCATGCTGGCACTGGCAGTTACAAGTGCAGCCCTTCAAACAGGAATCAGGAGTGGGACATGAGGTATGGTGCTCTACAAAAAACTGTTCCCAAAGGCAGCAGGAAAGAAGAAACCACTGCCAACCTCTGAGAAGCACCTGCTTCCAATGGCAGCTCCACCCTGGGGTACAGGTTGGTGATGTCTCTTGATTTCACTGTGGGTTGTGGTGAGATAGAACTTAAACAGGGGAAGTTTAGATTGGATATAAGGAAGAAGTTCTTTACTGTAAGGGTGGTGAGGCACTAGAATGGGTTGTCCAAGGAAGTTGTGAATATTCCATCCCTAGCGGTGTTCAAGGCCAGGTTGGACAGAGCCTTGGGTGACATGGTTTAGTGGGAGGTGTCCCTGCCCATGGAAGGGGGGTTGGAACTGGATGATCTTAAGGTCCTTTCCAACCCTAGCTATTCTATGATTCTGTGAGATGTTCTGGCCTCCTCACGTGCACTAGGTGATTAGCCAGCACCCCTCCAGGTACAGGGCATGGCAATGGGGAATGGGTGTCAGGCAGCCAGGCTGGGTAGTTCACTGTAGTGCCATGCTAGTCTTACTGTTCTGTTTCAGGAAGGTGCCCCAACTGGCAACTGCATTTTAAAATCTTGGCTCCAAACAAGGGTCTGTCTCAGTCTCCTGCACAGCTTTGGCTTTGCCCATCACCTGCACACATCAGATTAGCGCTGCTAGAGATAACAGGGAGAGATGCCATCACTCATGGTCCATCTCCTGCCACTGCCTGGTGTCAGGCTTCCTCTCCAGCAACCTGCAACGCAGCCAGGAAACGCTGGGAGGGGAGTGCTTGGCCTTTCCCCAGCGCTCAGCTTTCAGTGTAACACAATCCCAGTGAACTCTGCACCTACCTGCTGCCTGCAGAGTCCTGTGGGCTTTTGCCAGCTTGCTGTCATTTATATACATTTCTAAATATCACAGAAGTATTGCTGGGAGAGGGAAATGTGGAATGAATGACACGGACCTGCAA